TAATAGAGCTCGAAATTACAGTACATTAAGGGAAGTAAGTTTCGGGACTTTGAAAACTGACCTCTTAATAGAGGGTGACCGCTTATTACGGTGCCGCTTAATACAGGTTCGACTGTACCTGTCAACAAACTATAATTTCTCGCCTTCGCGCACAGCAAGAAAGCCGAAACTTCGTCACATGAAAGGATTGCTAATCAGAAAATCACAGGATCTCTCATTTTTCTGCGCATTTTTTTCTCTACGAAATATTTTGTCATTTTCGGAAAAGTCGTGGACCAACCTGGACATGGCGGACCGAGGGGCACATACTATACGGAATTTGCCAAAAGGGACTTCTCACAAAGTATCTTCGTAAAAAAATACCTACCGCCAACCTTTCGACCAGCATTGTTAACTCCTCTTGAAGCTGTCTATCCTCTTCGCTCTGAAAGAATGAAAAAGGAAACCATTCTTTTATAACTGAAAAAGAAAATTCACGTTGTGCTCCGCGAGGAAAACTTGGTCATGATGAGTCATTGTCAAAAGTTAAGGCTTTGTCGTATTTTTCAGCGAAACCCCAAAAGACGTTTGTAAAAAGCTACTGAAATGTGCTTACCAACTCGGGCTCTTCTTCTTTCTTGGTTCCATCTTTGGATTTCGTGTCCTCTTTCTTGTCGGAAGTTTCTTTCTCTTTCTTAGGTTCGGCTACAGGCGCCATGTTGGAATGGATTGTGGCTAAGGTTGCACAGGCTTCTGGGATTTCATGTCCATGATTTCTCGTTTTCTTTCATCCGTGTGGAAGGCCTGGGTCGGACTTGGACCACTTTGGAAGTGCCTTTTTGTAGTCGGGTTTGAAAGGTATAATTGCGCCCAGATCTGGTTATTGAAGGTAAGACAAGCTTTCAAATACGTTTAATTAAGATTTTTTTTCAGTCGTAGAGATGTAATTACCGGTTTAAGTTGCCAGCTACAGACCACTACCAAGCTGTAAGCTTTTCTACTGATGAACGATGCCACCCGTACGAAACGAGCAGCGCTGCTGCAGCGCTGCAGAATGGCTTCAAGAAGCGCTACAAAAGAGCTGTAAAAGCACTGGGCTGCAGCAGTCGCAAATTTTGGCTGCAGTGGAAAGCCCTTTGACAGCGATAAACAGCGCTTTTGCAGCGGTGAAGAAAATTCCCGAATCACGATCTGCGCTGCAAAGTGACTGCAAAGTGGCTTCGAAAAGACAAAGAATGTTGTTACCGGTAATGGCCTACCACTCGTTAGTACAAAAAAAAGAAATGCAGGCTCCAGTAATAAAATAATCATGATACATGGTAGAGGAGTTGACAAGGCCTTAGTAGCAGAGTAAAAACTACTAGAAAGTCAAAATGCAACTTATACTTTATTAGTATCCACCGCGTACACGTTACAAAAGCACGTGGCATATAACAAATATGCAACAGTTTCGCTTTGTAAATATTTAGCAATCACGGTCACTCATCTGAATGTAAGAACATCCATTAACATGAAGACATTGAAAATTATTTTTTTAAAAAATAAAGAGAATAACAGCGATTGTTCTACATAAAGTTTACCCGGACAGCAGCCAAATAATATTTTGATTCGTTGCAACGGGCAAAGCTGGACATTGCTCACCTTGATGTTTTGTCCATGATCCACGATCTTCTACACTTTTTTCATGAAAGATTCGACATAAATCTCTTTCAGCGTAGCAAAATGTGGTCTGAGATATTTCAGTGGTTTAGGAACTGATGTCATTGAGCTTGTGCTTGCTCTGATTTGTGATCTAAGGGCTTCCAGTGCTGGTTTGTGTAATGACATATTGGATTCCTGTTGAATAATAATATCATTTTATTAAGAAATGTGGGAATGCTCTAGTTTGTTTCTCCTAGACTATCAATGTCTTACTATGACCTGCTATAAAATTTGAAATGCTACTCTGCTATCTGTCAAATAATATTGCAGTGATCATTCTACAACTGTAATCCAGGAACCACATTTACGAAGATTGTGAAGCTGTTTCCTCCAATAAAGAAAGAGGCATTGCTTAATCAAGAGCAGCACTTATTGATTGTTTGGCTGTTTTAACTGGTACTTTTATTGTGAACTGCCGAATGATAATCCACGAATGTGTGGTAAACAGCACAAAAATGAAAATGTGATTTTCACAACATATTATATATTTTTTCCATTCTTGGTGCAATAAAGCTATAGTTTTTCTTGAAGATGTTGTGAGTACAAAATAGTCTGCTTTTCTTTCAAAGACTTCAGGCAACAGTCTCCCTGGAGTCTCCCACACAAGTGGTTTTCAGCACTGTCAAAAATAATTACTTCAAACTCTGTATGCATATGTATTTGAGGTATTAAAAAAAGAGAACTTGTAGACATGTATAGGAAAGATTTTCAAAACATTTTTCGAAAACAAGGGCTGCTCTTTTTATTTTTTATTCAATCAAGGTCATAGGTCGAGGACCAAGGACCACTAAGCAACATTTGGTGATTTTTTTCGGGGGTCGATAAAACAAAAATTCTCACGGTCTGCAGCAATATGCTTCCAACAGCAAAAATAGGTTGATCTGAAAACCTTTTCTGCAAAAAGGCACATCTTTCCATTGCATTTTATTTATTCACAAGCTAAGTAAACATGACCATGTAATTTACAGCGCTGCATAAGTCCAAACTTCAAGAAAAACAAATTAACCTACAGTGGAACCTGTATTAAGCGGTTACCCTCGGGGAGTGGCTAACTGACCGCTTAATACAGGGTGACTGCCTAATACAGGTGGCAAGAAATACAGTTCAAAGAATTAGATCTCCAGTGCTGATCAGATCAGACGTTTTACCTCAAATAGAAACATTCATTTCTGGCGTTTTAATGGCTTGCGAAAATAAACAAGGAAATCAATTGTTGTACCTTGCATGTTACATTATTTGAAACTGTATGAACAAATAATTGACACCGTGTGACAGTTTAATACAGGTCAAGACAACAGATCAGAAAAAGTCCCGTTGGGACTTCGCAAATGGTGACCGCAACCGCTTAAAAAAGGTGACCGCTTAATAGAGCTCGAAATTACAGTACATTAAGGGAAGTAAGTTTCGGGACTTTGAAAACTGACCTCTTAATAGAGGGTGACCGCTTATTACGGTGCCGCTTAATACAGGTTCGACTGTACCTGTCAACAAACTATAATTTCTCGCCTTCGCGCACAGCAAGAAAGCCGAAACTTCGTCACATGAAAGGATTGCTAATCAGAAAATCACAGGATCTCTCATTTTTCTGCGCATTTTTTTCTCTACGAAATATTTTGTCATTTTCGGAAAAGTCGTGGACCAACCTGGACATGGCGGACCGAGGGGCACATACTATACGGAATTTGCCAAAAGGGACTTCTCACAAAGTATCTTCGTAAAAAAATACCTACCGCCAACCTTTCGACCAGCATTGTTAACTCCTCTTGAAGCTGTCTATCCTCTTCGCTCTGAAAGAATGAAAAAGGAAACCATTCTTTTATAACTGAAAAAGAAAATTCACGTTGTGCTCCGCGAGGAAAACTTGGTCATGATGAGTCATTGTCAAAAGTTAAGGCTTTGTCGTATTTTTCAGCGAAACCCCAAAAGACGTTTGTAAAAAGCTACTGAAATGTGCTTACCAACTCGGGCTCTTCTTCTTTCTTGGTTCCATCTTTGGATTTCGTGTCCTCTTTCTTGTCGGAAGTTTCTTTCTCTTTCTTAGGTTCGGCTACAGGCGCCATGTTGGAATGGATTGTNTCCGTCCAAAAACATCAACAGAACTTCCATCTCGAAACAGAACTAGATGCAAAAAAACGTAGAATGTTTGCACCTTTCATTCAACGGTCGCAAATGTCTGGGAGCTGTGTTTGTCGATCTAGAGATGTAATGGGATCTCATGCAAAAGGACCGACCAATTAGATAACGCCCAAAATGTCTCCAGGGAATTAGCGATAACATTCCCACGCTCGCCCTCCACAGAATTAAATTTATTAAATCTTTATTCCGAAAGCATAGAATTTGGAGGTTTATTCAATAAGTGATCTCCCTTGCGCACAAGCTTACTCACATTTCTTAGAGGTACAGTCAAAGTTTTCGCGTTATAAAAGCCGTAATCTGTGCCAAGGCTTTATCTGGCGATTCATGTTATTGGCGCTCAAGAAAGTCAGATCAACCGCAGCTGAATTGTAGCATTACTGCCGCTACTTCACAGCATTTGAAAATCCCCGTACGAAACTTACAGCGCTATACAGCACCAGAAAATCGCTTCAAAAAAGCTGTATGGCTAAATTACAGCTGTTCAGCAGCATTTCAGAAGCCAAACAGCAGTTTCATTGAAGTTGCAGCGGGATGCTAAAGCCCTGTGCAGCTTTTGAAGGCTCTTTGAAGCTCTCGGCAGCGGTTTTGCAGTGCAGTTGCCGACTTTCAAACGCTACGAAGTAGCTGCAGCAACGCTACAATTCAGCTGCAGTCGATCTGACTTTCTTGAGCGCCAATAACATGAATCACCAGATAAAGCCTTGGCACAGATTATGGCTTTTATAACGCGGAAACTTTGACTGTACCTCTAAAAAATGTGAGTAAGCTTGTGCGCAAGGAAGATCACTTATTGAATAAACCTCCAAATTCTATGCTTTCAATAAATTTCATTCCGTGACCGGTGAGTGTGGGAATGTTATCGCTAATTCCCTGGAGACATTCTAGGCCGTAATCTAATTGGTCGGTCCTTGATGTTTTTGGATGGAACAGCTCAAATGTATTTGCAAACAACGCATTGAACAGTGACTTCTACGCTAAGTATCAACGAATCGAACCAGAGCAAGCAACACAGATTCAGAATCTCAGCTGCGGTTCGCACTTACAAGATTCTTATACGCTCATGGTAATGTACATTCCTTAGTCTACTATAAAATTTAACGATGACCAAACTTAAATTTGGTTGATTTCTTTCATGAAAAAAGTGTAGAAGATCGTGGATCATGGACAAAACATCAAGGTGAGCAATGTCCAGCTTTGCCCGTTGCAACGAATCAAAATATTATTTGGCTGCTGTCCGGGTAAACTTTATGTAGAACAGTGGCTGTTATTCTCTTTATTTTTAAAACAGATAATTTTCAATGTCTGCATGTTAATAGATGTTCTTACATTCAGATGAGTGACTGTGATTGCTAAATATTTAAAAAAAGCGAGACTGTTTCAGATTTGTTATATCTCACGTGCTTTTGTAACGTGTACGCGTAGATAATAAATTATCAGTTGCATTTTGACTTTCTAGTGGTTTTTACTCCGCTACTAAGGCCTTGTCAACTCCTCTACCATGTATCATGATTATTGTATTACTGGAGCCTGCATTTCTTTTTTTTGTTCTAACGAGTGATAGGCCATTACCGGTAACAACATTCTTTGTCTTTTCGAAGCCACTTTGCAGCGCAGATCATGATTCGGGATTTTTCTGCACCGCTGCAAAAGCGCTGTTTATCACTGTCAAAGGGCTTTCTGCTGCAGCCAAAATTTGCGACTGCTGCAGCCCAGCACTTTTACAGCTCTTTTGTAGCGCTTCTTGAAGCCATTCTGCAGCCCTGCAGCAGCGCTGCTCGTTTCGTACAGGTCAGCAACTGCGCTGCAAAACCGCTGCCGAGAGCTTCAAAGAGCCTTGAAAGGCTGCACAGCATTTTTGCATCCTGCTGCAACTTTAATAAAGCTGCTGTTTGGCTTCTAAAAGGCTGCTGAACAGCTGTAATTTAGCTGTACAGCTGTTTTGAAGCAATTTTGTGGTGCTGTACAGCGCTGCAAGTTTTGTACGGGCATCCACTCTACTTCCACTTCATGATCACTACAAATCTTAGCCTCACATTTGCTAGTACCCTAGAGTACTAAACCCACAACCATAAAATGTGTGGAAGTGAGTAATGCGACCTTCTCTAGGAAAACATATACTAACACTTTTTCGTTAAACGGGCAAAAGCTAACAGTTTGACTTAACACTTTAAAAATCCGTGTATCATATTTCCTCAAATGATAACTGTCCCTCGATTAATCGCCTCCCTCAAATAATTTACCACCCCCTTAGTTGGAAATGTTAAAAATAATATTACTGCTTCCTTCTAATAATCACTCACTGGCACCCCTCTCGCCATCTTCTCTTTCTTTTATCCCCTCCATTTCAAGTTGCAGTGGAGTTTGATCCAGCAAAACCGACCAGTAACAATTCCAACTCTGACACTGAGGATATTGACACTGAAAATTAATCAAGGAACTAAATTTGGAACACTTAAAAAGCCCATATGTTGAGTTTATTCAATGTGATCTTTTTTTAATTTAATGGGATAATAAAACAAAATATTTAGGGCATGACTCCCAGTGAGCCATATTTCATATTTGAAATACATAATGCTCTTTTTGAACTTCATGATACGCTTTTAATTTCCAATCTAATTTTGCAAAAGACATTGAGTAGCATCAACTCATTGCCATTTTCAGCTGACAGTTGAACCCTTGTCTTCTTTGACGTTTTTCACCTTAAACTATTCGAGTTTCACACAGCAAAAGGGAACTAAAAATAAAACAACAAGAACTTGAAATAGCGACAGTCATTTACTTGTAGTTCGTAGTTAGTTGGGAGAGAACGGATGTCCAAACTTCTGGGGTTTGTTTACCGCAAAGGTCATCAAAAGTCACACGAAACTACACATGAAATCTGATGCTCAAAAGGTGAATAGTGTAAGGTAAATGAATATAATAATGTAAAGTGGGGAGCAGGTCAAAAAGTTTTAAAAAGCAGTGTGGATAGATTAAAGTCTAGTGGAGTAGAGTACAGTAGATTGAAGCTTTAGTGGCGTCTATAAGAGGTGGGTTGACCTGAGTGGTTACAGGCGAAATAATAAATCGCTAGCAGTACAGAGTTGATTAACACAGAAGAATTCAGTAAGAGTTGGGTTTAGTAAAATATTGTTGCAGCAGTTACTTAACTGAAAGTAGTTTACAGAAGAGAACAGTTGACTTGGGTAGGTGGAGTTTAGTCAAGTGTAGTAGTGGTTAGTAAGGTACATGTAGTAGTTTTTTGTATTTGATATGCCGGGTGCCATTATATAACGCACAAAATCTCAAAATAGTATTTAGTGCTGTATTTGGTAACTGAAAATTATGGCATGCAAACTTTTCTGTCAAAAAGTGTGTGGGCCGGGGTGTTCTGTTGTTGATGCACTTCTTCTTCCACACTTTCTAATGTTTTACTAGTAAACAGTGAAACTCCTGAATCTCCCGCTGTTGTCTCTTACTAAACATGTTAGCTTTATTCAGGTTTCTCGGCAGCACTAATGCCACTTGGTGAGCTTTAATTGTTCAGATTTTTGCCTATGCTTCTGAATAGCCTACAGGTTGCCTCCTGCTAGTTAAGGTCTTTAATCCTGTTATATTCTATGACTGATATATTTGTTTCTAATTATTCAAGTAGGGTTCCTGCAAACTAGCTATAAAGCTAATCACACTTCCAGCATAAACCAACAAAGTCAACAACACAAACCTATTTAGTAAACTTTATTAATGCATGTCTCTAGGGGGCCAGTCAGAATCATTTAATGACTGTAGGTACATTATTCATCTTGCCTTGACAGGTCTTCCAAGTTTTCTAATTTTGGTTTCTAGACTCCCTTGACACTCTTGCATAGTGTTAGAACCCAGCCAACCAACCAAAAAATTGAAATTGGTGGCTACAAAAAAACTTGTAGTTGTACCTTTACCTGATGTTTTTTGTTTATGTTGATAGGTACTCTAACCATAACATCAAGCAGAACAACTAAGAATTCATGAAAGAGTTCACACTGGTGAAAAGCCTTTTGAATGTAAACATTGTGGCAAGTGTTTTAGCCAAGCAGGAAACTTGAGGAAACATGAAATCCTTCACACTGGAGTGAAACCCCATGAATGTAAACAGTGTGGCAAAAGGTTTAGTCAAACAGTACACCTAAGGAACCATGAAAGGGTTCACACTGGAGAAAAGCCTTATCATTGTAAAAAGTGTGGCAAGTGTTTTAGGGTATCTACCAACCTAAGAAATCATGAAAGAGTTCACTCTGAAGAAAAGGCCTTTAAGTGCAAGCAGTGTGACAAATGTTTTAGGGTGGCAAGGACATTAAGGGTACATGAACGAATCCATACTGGAGAAAAGCCTTATGAATGTAAACAGTGTGGCAGGTGTTTTAGCCAAAAAGGAAACTTGATGAAACATGAAAGTATTCACACTGGAGAAAAGCCCTTTGAATGTAAACAGTGCGGCAAGTGTTTTAGGCAAGCAAGGTATCTAGTGATTCATGAAAATCTTCACAGATGGGAACATTCCTATGAATGTAAACTGTGTGGCAAGTCTTTTGCTATAGCAGAAAGCCTACAAATGCATAAAAAAGGTCACAGTGGAGTAAAACCTTATCAGTGTAAACGGTGTGGCAAGTGCTTTATGAACGCAGGGAGGCTAAGAGTACATGAAAGAGTTCATACTGGAGAAAAGCCTTTCGAATGTAAATGGTGTGGAAAGTGTTTTAGGTCAGCAGACAGCCTAAGAATCCATGAAAGAGTTCACACTGGAGATAAACCTTATGAATGTAAAAAGTGTGGCAAGTGTTTCAGCTTATCAGGAAACCTGAGAATTCATGAAAGAGTTCACACTGGAGAAAAGCCTTATGAATGTAAAAAGTGTGGCAAGTGTTTTAGTACAGCTGGAGTCCTAAGAAACCATGAAAGAGTTCACACCGGAGAAAAGCCTTATGAATGTAAACAGTGTGGAAAGTGTTTTAGCAGAGCAGAAATCCTTAAAAAACACAGAAGACTCCACACTAAAAGTCACACTAACGAAAGACCATCCGAACGTTTGCATTGCGAGAGTAAGAAAAGTGACATTCAAGAGAGAGGGACTGGAAGCAGTAGGGTAGGCGCCCTACCATCATCCAGTATTGAGAAACACAGCTGTTGGATTTGTCAAGAGGAAATGAATAGTGAACCGCTTCTTCTTCGACATTATGAAAATCATATGAGGCATGTAGGCGAAGATAGCCTTTAAGAATGCTTCGTTTCCATAAAGGGGTGTTTACATTGGTGATGTTTGCCTGCAATTTGGATGCGACTTTAGATGGGATCTAAAACTGCTTTTGTAAACAATAAGAGATTTCATGGCGATTTTTCGTTTTTTTTCGTTGCGAATCTGACCAATGGTGCTGTCCATAATGCCAAACGTCGGAAATTTTGGTGGAAATAAAAACGGGATGCCTCAGCCTATGTTAAAGCGTTTTTTAGCAGACCGTGGCAGTGCTGCACTTTTTTGGGAGATGCCGCAGTATAATTAGTCCAAGGGGTCCCAGGGATGCAAAGAAGGAAAAAACTGTTACAAAACGTACGTAAACATACCTACACATACTTACATTTCCTTGAGTTAACTGTGTGCACAACTGAACATTTATTACCCTTGAAAGTACAAGGTATTTACTCTAATTCAGACCAGTGAGTTAAACGTTGAGTCAACTGTATCGAAAAATTGTGACCTGCTTTTCTCCTTCATGACCCCCTTTTAGCTTCTCTATGGGATCTGTGGACCCCAGTGTAGAAAATCCTGGCGAGAACACTGAACTTGCGACTCCATTTAGTCCATTTTACCTTCATTTATTTTTTCGTCCCGCCATTGGCCTTTTTCCCTCACCAATGAGCCTGGTCCTAGCCTTCGTTCCGTTTCCAAAATTTCGCTTTTTCAGTCCCACTGAGCTGAGAAATAATCAAACTTTCACTGTATTCATAAATGAAACTCTTCTGTCCGGCTGGAAACTTTGTTTCAATTCAGCAATGTCGTCCTGTTCCCTCTTGGTCGGTTCCACTGCCAGGCACCGGTTTTCTGACCAGTCAGTTTAGTAAAGTGGAAAGTACTTCAAAATGTGTTAAGTTTTATCCAAGAATCTCTGCTTAGGAATATTAGCGGGATAGCGAAAACCTGTCTTTGGTGTCTTCACGGATAAGTGCTCTCACTGTTCTCAAGATAGTCCAACTGTAACATCTGAAAAATGATTCTAATACTACCAGGAAGTCGCCGTAAAATTGCAGGAAAAATCGTTTTTATTTGCAGGCCATGTCGTCATGTAATAAAAAGTAGTTATTTTGTCATTTTGAAGAAACCCTGGAAACGAGATTGATTTTTACTTTTCTTGCACGACTAGTCCTTGAAACCTCATAATGTCTTCCTCGTATCCAGACGTCTCTCTCTCGAAGAAATTTGCGTGCAAGGAAAGGTGGGAAGGAGACTGAAAACTTCGCCTTTCGTCTTTCTCTTTCCCATGGTCCATTGGGCTTTGTCAACAGTCACTCGCGTTTCACGCTCGCCCCTATACGACATACGAAGCGCTTGAGGAGAAGGCAGTCATCATGTGTTGCTTCATGGGGGCCAAAACTCACATTTCCTTTTTTAACCAGATACCATGCGAACACATGCACATTCGATCATATGCACATGTAATTTGCACAATATAAGTAATAAATTTATTTATTTATCATTGATGTAACAGTTAAGAAAGACAGTTTGCTAGTGTAAGTACTTAACTTTTGGCGGGTTGGTGTGTTAGTGTGGTGGTAAGGGGGAGAGATTATGATACGACCCTGGGTTGCGATTTTCTTTATTTTTAATAAAAACACTCTCAATAACAGGTCAAAAATTTTCTAATTGTCTCAAAAATGGAACTGACCATTTACGAAAGGGACAACAACATTGCCCATAAAAAAGTAGAATCAATGGATAGAATTTGCATTTTTTGGTGAGCGTAGTCATATTTTGGTATGACTCCATTTCTCGACGTTACAATAAATAGCGATAATTCCGGAAATTCATTAGTGCTTTACAATAAAATTATAATAGAATAACTGAGGAAAAAAATGAACAAGTAATCAGTAATAGAAAATTAAAATGTAAAAAAAACAATTTTAGATAAATGTGTTTTAAGTTCTTTGTTAAAAAGAGGATAGAGAAAATTTTGAACGGTCTCTACGCCTATCTGGGAAAAATTGTGTAGACTCTTTCTCATTCCTCAAGAAGGTGATCTCCCGGCCGTCCAATAGAACATCTGCGGCTGCAGTCGTTTCAGTTCCCTTTCAACAAAGCGAAAGGAGCGCACGAGACTCACGAGGATGTGACTCCGGCCCAAGCACCTGCGAAGGAGACTACATATTTGGCCTGGTAAAGGTATTAAACCCCCGAAGTCTACGTGGTTGCCCTCCGCGATTTTACAACATTTCGAATTCTCCCACTTCTTTCCTCTGAACTGAAAGCAATAATAACAAGACGCTGTGGGAGCGTATATTTGGACGTCAATGTACTAGGCGTGTGAAGTTTTTTTTATGTGTATTAGGGATGTGTGAGTAGCGCAGTGGCGTTGTATGTTTAGGGGTTGGTTGAGATGCGTGAAGTGGAAGGCGACGTGAATTGGTAAGATAATGGCTGTAGTTTGTTAATCAGTGAAACTTGTTTCTCGTAGAAGTTAATATGAAATAACAAAAAATAACTATTTTGGGAGGTAAAAGTGATTTTAGGTGTTGCAGTGAGGTAGTTGTGGAAGTGCTAATTTGGTTATGTAGGGATAGTGTAGTTACAGTGTGTTGAAATGAAGTGGTGGTTGTGAAAAGCCTTATCAATAGTCGAAAACTTGCTTGTACGTATTTTAAACGTTGTTAGGCTTTCTGTTCAGGATTGTTTTTTGCTTATTCTTGATAATATATGTATGGAGAGAAAATGATAACGCCAAAAGTTCATTAATATAGAGAAGGGGAAGTGAAGATGTTGAGGGGGGTGAAATCTTTTGAGTGTTTTCGGGGGCTTTGAAAAATCGATGAGGTCAAGGGGAGGGCGTAAAAACTTGCTATAGAACTGATAGGGCCTGATTTCATGAACCAAACTGGCTCGCTTTGAAGAGATCCCGCACCTTAGGGTAACGCAACAAAAATCAACTTTGCGATTATATGACGACCGAGCCAGCGCGCCTGGTTAGCTGGGATCCCGATAATGTAATGCCGGGGTCCAGGGTGGAAATTTGCCAAGTAATCACCCTTGCCGGACGGCCCGGCGGAACCAACAAGAAACAGGACATGCGGGTGACACACTGTTCATGAGCATTGCTTTCCCAGCACATGTGATAGGCCCTTTTTGTGGGTTGTATTGGCAATTCGCAATTTGCACGTGAAAGCTTTGGAATTCGCCGTTTTCGTGGTACGTTCGTGTGTATGAGAGAATACGACTTAGGCCCGGTCCACACGTTTCCGTTTCCATTTGAAAACACAACTTTTTCTTTACGGATACGACTTCCGTCCACACGTATCCGAGGAAAAATCAATGAAAACGGAACTTTTTGAAAACGCTCTCCAGCGTGGAACTTTTCAAAAACGCTATTTTTTGCGTGTACGTGTGGACAGAAGAAAACCGAACTTTTCGAAAACGCTGAGGACACACTATCACTTCCAATCCACTCTGCGCAATACTAGAAACTTATTCAAGATGGCGGACGGGCGCTTCCTTTCTTGTCTCTTATACTTGGGCTTATTTCTAGCCTAATTACTTGTTTTCAAGCAAATTTACCTTTGTTAATTCTTCAAGCTGATTATTCCAGGAGGCGACAGAACATTACAGGTTAACGGTGTCAAGAGGCGGAAGGTTGGATCTCTCTTTAGTTTAACTTTGTTTTTGCCCTGATTTTGACAAATATGTTTCATAATGTTGACAGGCCATACACGACTCCCTTTGGCCAAGTTGTTTTATATCTTTGACCTTTAAGCTTCATAGTTTGAGTTGTTCATAATATTGACAGGCTATTCACGTCTATCTTTGGCTCATCTGCTGTTGCTTTGACCTTACCTTCATAGTTTAGCTCTTACGAGTATATCTTGTAGTGATTTTCCTCTTTTGTAAGATATTATGGGAGGGTCTTTAAAGATTTCTCTAAGCAACATTTGGTTTTCTATAAGATACCATTTGTGCATGATGATTTTTTTTAGATTCGGTACTGAGGGGCGATATTCTGTCACGAGTGGTAGTATTTTCTTGTGCGTTTTTGTTTTGTTTTGCAAAGCCGACATTCTTTCGTGATGCTTGACTTCTGATAGGTGCTTATCTATCACTTTATCTCTATAACCCCTCATACGGAGTCTTTGCTTGAAATTAGTTACGTTCTCTTCGAACGTTTTCTCAGAAGAGTTTGTTCTGAGTAATCTTAAGGCCTCGCCTTTTATGAATCCTTTCTTAACCCCTGGGGGTGACATGAAGAGAAGTACGTGTATTGGAAAGTTTCTGTCGGTTTGAAGTGTGTACGCACATGTAGGATTGATTCCTTCTTAAATCTTTCTCCTTTGTAAATACATGTATCCAGAAAGTCGGTTTCTGTTTCTGAAACTTCAGCAGTAAATTTTATGGTCGGGTGGTGGTTATTTGCTAGTTCGATGAATGAGTATATTTCTTCTTTGTCTACATTCCACAATGAGAATATGTCATCGATAAATCTCTTCCACACTAGTGGTTTGTGCAGACTTTGTTAATAATTTCTGTCTCTATTGCAGACATAAAAATGTTAGCAAATGCACCTGCCATTTTTGTTCCCATAGCTGTACCTTGTACTTGGAGGTAGTTTTTTCCATTAAATTGGAAAGAATTCTCCCTTAGGATTAGTCTGAGCATATCTGCGAGGTATTGGCTGGGTATTGGAGGTTTGTTTTGATAGAATGTTTCGTATGCTTTGCATATAATGGTAATTCCTTCCTTCTGTGGGATGTTTGTGTATAGGCTGGTTACATCCATAGAGACTAAAATAGCATTTTCTACGACCCTGGTTTTCTCTATGAAGTTGATAAAGTCTGTCGTATCTTTAAGATACGATTTTTGCGATTTAGCAATTGGTTGGAGGAGACTATCAACAAATAATGAGATTCTTTCCGTCGGGCCTTCGCAGCCCGATATGATCGGTCTTCCAACTGGTGTTGGTTTGTGAATCTTTGTGAGAGTGTAGAATTGTGGTATTCGCGGTGGATTTGGCGGGAGGGATA